ATGACGCAACAGTATGTTCATATGACGCCATGTTAGGAAGTTTAACGATATCTATAATTTATGTTTTAAAGACCGATAGAACAAAATGCCTAAAAGTTGTGATCAAAAATCACGAAAACTGTGGAGGTTTTTTCCCACAAAAATAGCTTTTCAGATCTATCTTTTATCTCCCACAAACTTAAATCACTACCTAGGAGGTTTTTGTTCAATGCCAGAACTCCTCAGTTGGGCTGGACGTGATTTTTATCACAAGTTTCAGGCTAATTTGTTTCTAATGTTTCGCAAGCTTTCGGAATTTAAACTATTTAAAATGTATTATACCGCAGATATAAACAGCGTTCCAGGTAATATTTTACCTTTCATCGTTTAGCCAGCTGTACAGTTATGGTATTGGACGAAATGCATATTGGGCAGTGACTTGTTGGAGACCATAGATCCCAAATGCTAATTTTAAACGCCTCTGATTTTGAATCAGAAAATAAAGACGAATTATGAAGAATATTGAAAAATATATGCAGTTTAGGTGATTTGTATCACAAATATATGTAATTATTTAATGATAAAGCAAGTGCACACACAGATACTCTAACACAGTTGTTCTCAATTTAGAGTCCGCTGACCACAGGTGGCTCGCGGGTTAGTGAAAATTTTGCATAATTATGAAAAGGAAGAAACTGCATAGTATATATATATATATATATAAATATATCCTATTGTTGCGTCAGCGAGGTCACGTGACTCGTTCTCTCGAACCTTCGGGAATTGTCGGGAGATTACTAGATATAGGGTAGTCTGCTATATATAAGAGGGTGACAACGTGACGGGAAGAATGTGTGTGTAGGTAGTGAGTAATTGATCTGCAGTGAGAAAGTATTGTTGAGGTTAACGTTCATTATAGCGTTTGTTTTAGCGCGAATGTTGAAATCAAGTGTATCGTGAAGTTATATTCAGAAATAATAAACCAGTTTTATTAAGTAAAGACTTGTGTCGCTAAAGTTTCGTCGGAACGAAGTTACGGAAAATCAATTAACAAATGGAGACGTAACAAACTGGTGTCAGAGAGTGGGATAAAAAAAAATGGAAACGAGAAGCGGCATATCAAACTACAGCCTAGCAGACTTAATGGCAGCAATACAAGAACAGCAAAAGAAACAAGAAGAACGAGAAGAGAAATTACAACAGTTGTTAGAGGAAAAAGAAAAGAAACAAGAAGAACGTGAGAATAAACAAGAAAGAAACAAGAAGAGAGACAACAGCAGTTGCAAGAAAACCTGAACAGTGGCAGCTCGAACAACGAAATAAACAAGAAGAGAGATTACAACAGTTGTTGGAGGAAAAAGAAAAGAAACAAGAAGAACGAGAAGAGAAATTACAGCAGTGGTTGGAGGAAAAAGAAAAGAAACAAGACGAACGAGAAAAGAAACAAGAAGAAAGATTACAGCAGTGGCAAGAAAACCTGCAACAGTGGCAGCTCGAACAACAAAATAAACAAGAAGAGAGATTACAGCAGTTGTTAGAGGAAAAAGAAAAGAAACAAGAAGAACGGGAAAAGAAACAAGAAGAGAGATTACAGCAGTGGCAACTGGAACAAAAAAGGAAACAGGAA